CAAGGGATGGTCCACAAACTTCAAGACGTGTCAAATTATCGGAGGCACTGACACGTAACTGCTCGAGCAATGGGCAGGCACGTAAGAGAAACTCAATAGTTTCACCAGAGACTTCAATACTACCTAAGTGCAACATTTTTATGGACTCATACTTGAAAAGTCTAGTAGATTTATTAGGACTGTCCGAACTGATATTTCTGCATAACTCTTCAGGAAACACGTACGATTCACCTGGGGCCTGACCAAAATCACCATCTGAAAGGTTCAACTCCAACTTTTCGGTGTGCCTCTCAAAAGCAAATTCAAGCCACTTCGTAATTGACTTTCTTGCTGATTTGCCTAAACTAAAGCATATTCTTAATTCTTTCACGGTGGACCCTCGGTGTGATTGGAGAACCGAATCCACCCACTTTACATACTTTTCCCTCTCAACAGTCACACAATTTGGATCATGGATAACCTTCTCCATGGAGCTATAGTCATCAAAGTTGAGATGTGAGATGTAACTCCACAGGCTTTTCCAACGAGATGAAAGAACACTTGTTCGCCCGGCTTCTTTCAATGGGAGAAAAGATAGGATAGCAAGGAGAATGTCATCGGGTAATCGACTTATAAGATTATCACCATCGTATCTCTCAACACACTGCCAAGCAAACACACGATAAACCATTAAGAATGCAATAATCAACAAGTTGCATGTGATTTTTCCCATTAAGAGCTCCAACACGTTAAACCATATAGAGCTTTTCAATATTGTATAGTTCACTATCACCCAGAAAACCGCAAACAAGTTTTGCAACAATTTTAATAAAATTTTGAATAATAATTATTGACTCACTATCAATTATCAATCTTATTTTGTTATTAAATCTATATAAAATTGTGAAATTCATAAAATTCCAACCGGCAAAATTATATTTAAAAAGTGTAAAATATTTTAATCAATGAAAAAGAAAAAGTGAAAAATAATTAAATGATTTGAATCGAGGAAAAAGAGAAGGAGTCCACCTCTTGCAAGCCTTGGCTGCAAATCTCCATCTTTGAACAATTTTGTTACCCGAAAGCAGAGGGAGGATTGATTGGCTTGCTTCTTTTGAAAAAGCAGATTTTCGGTATCAATTGCCCGATAAATTCAGTGACAGCCAAATAAAGGAATTAAAAATCAGTGATCTCCAACTTTATCCAAAGAAGCGAAAAACCTAGTTCTCTGTAAAAAAAAATCATCAAAGGCAATTGAAAAACATTAAACAAAAAAAAAAAAAAAAA